TATATATATATATATATATATATATATATATATATATGCCTATTTATAGGTCTATAGGATGAATAAAATAGGAAATAGTTTTCTTGGAGAAATCAAAATGTTGAAAGGTTCAAGTGCCGAAATCCAGAGAATGGATGATCTGATTAATCATGTATATTGTATGATCATTAAATGGCCCCATTTTAAGAGGGTTTCACTCTTATTAAGAAGGCTATCTCTGAAGGGCTTCTTTGGGATTAATTTTGCTTTTTGTTTGTTTTTTTTTTGTTTGTTTTTTTTTCCTTTGTTTTTTAAAATATGTTTGTTTAATTTCTGTTGTTAACATGTTTTGTATTTATTGTTTCTAAACGTCTATATAAACATGTTTTGAAAAACACTTAAAATAATTTTTGGGTATTTTTAAGTGTTTTAAAAAACAAGCATATCTTAATCAAACATGTCAAACATGTTTTGTTTCAAATCAAAACATAAACAAGTCTTTATCCCACTAAGTGGGATGGGCTACATGAATCTTTTTTCTTCGTTGCGTTCTATTTAGTGTCATACTTTGATTTAATTATAATAAACTAAGATAACTTTTTATACAATATGCCTAGGTCATTTTAGGTCCAACTCTGCCTTTCTTAATATAAGTTGAATCTAAAACATCTATTTTCTTAATCGGGTCATCAGATGGTCGACATTTAATATGACCGAACCATCTAAGACTAGATAAAAAATAAAAAAAATAGAAAACAAAAACAAAAGTGATCTCAAATGGCCTCGAAATTTTTATTTTTATTCTTTGTTATTATTTATATTTAAAAACATATTTGTTTAATGTATTATTTGAATGTTTTTTTCAAACAATATATATATTCTAAACAAAATAAAAAAATATAAAAATAAAATTGATCTCAAACAGCCTCTACGTACTTGATTGACCTGTACTTCTTTCCTTCTCTTTAGATATGATCATTTCTCAAAGATGATCTCATAAGGTCTACTTTGAAATCAACTTTGATGCTATGAGAATCATCTCTTTCTTAGTATTTTTATCCAAAAATCTGAAATTTTATATGGTCAACTTGAGCCCCACCATTAGTTAGGGGTGTAAACGAACAGAACACGAACGAACGAAGCTTGTGTTCGTGTTCGGTTCGTTTGAAATTTAATTTGTTTGAAATATGCTCGTGTTCGAAATTGTTCGCGAAGTTATTGTTCGTGTTCGTTTCTTAACGAACGAACCGAACAGGAGCTGTTCGTGAACGAGGAGCCAGTTTGACAACCCTAATATTAATATAAATAACAAAATATATTAATTATATAACTTATATTATATAAATA